TTTTTTTTTTTTTTTTTTTTGTACTGGGGATGGAACTCGGGACCTTGCACTTATGAGACAGGCAGCGGAACCACTGAGCTAAATCCCCGGCCCTACCAGGATTTATTTAATCAAGACAGTGAGGTCTATTTGAAGGAAGAAGTTTCACCTCACCCAGGGCAGGAGGCCAGGTGCTGCAGCAGACAAAGGGGCAGCCAGCTGTCAGAGGCAGGCACAACCTTCCTGTAGTTGCCCAGAGGGTCCGGGCGAGGAGGCCAAACCAGGTGGCAGTGACACTGGCAGCCTGATAGCTTTGCAGGCTCCAGGGTGTGGCTACCCCAGGTGGTCAGGATCAGAGCTGGGTCTGGTGTCAGGCAAGCACACAGGCAAGCTGGATCTGAGTCCAAAGGGTCTCCTGGGAGGGTGGTCCTTGCAGGCCGGCAAGGCCCCACGATTCTGACCACATGTGTAAACACAGGGATAAAGGCAGGGTTAACATGGCTTCCAGACAACTCTGCCTCCAGGTCCTCAGCCACCTGGGAAGGCCTTCAGAGAGCAATGTCCTCCTGTGGCGCAGAGGCCACAGCTGAACCCGACTGGTGCACTTACTCGTGACACCCAGAGCACAGGCCAGTGACAGAGCCACTGTGCTCAGGCACTGGGGACCAGGTGGGTTCCCCAACCAGGGTAGCCCTGGGACAGTCATCACATTGCCCTCCCCTGTCACCTACCTGGCCAGACCCGTGCAGACTGCTGCCGTTCTCCATGCTGCTGCAGCCTGTGTGTATAGAACATGCTATGTGGCCTCCTGGCTGAGCTGAAGGCTGGGTTGGGAACACTGCAGTCCAGCAGCTCCAGTTCCAACTCTGACACCAAGCTGCTGTGTTTGTTTGTTTGTTTGTTTGTTTTGGGGGATTTTGTTTGTTTGATTTGGAGACAAGGTCTCACTGTGTAGCCCAGGCTGTTCTTGAACTCAACTCGGTAGCCTAGGCTGGCTTCGAACTTGTGTTTGAATCCTCCTGCCTCAGCCTCCTGAGTGCTGGGATTATAGATGTATGCCACCATGCCTGGCCAAGCCTCTGGTTTGTCTGAGTGGTTTGTATGGTCTCTGTGTTACAAAGGTGCAGAGAGGTGGGATGATTAGAACATAAGTCATTGCAGTACTTTCTGGGCCTGCCGTTGCAGAGTCAAGAGAAGTCAGGTGCTTGGTAGGTCGTCAGCCTCATGATGTGGGGCAGAGCTGTATCTGTCTTCTCCCTTGAAGCCTGCAACAGCCTCACATGACACTGTCATTCCTCTGCAGGCTGTGTCTCCTCCTGGGGCCCTCAGCATCCAGGCCTGACACTTGGCCCAACACCCAGCCAGGCGAACACCGTGAAGGCTCTCAGGTAGTGTCCCCAGATGGCATTTTCTCATGGGTGGACCAGAAGCAGCCAAACTCTCTCCTGACCTGACTGTGAGAACCAGGACTGAATGAGTCTGCTCCGATCTGTAGTACTGAGTCAGGCTCTGTATATACAGTGTGATGTTTGAATTTTTGAAGCTGTGCTGTTCCTTAGGTGAACCATGTAATGACTGCATGATATTTCCTCATGAGGACAGATGGGGTTGTTTCCTGTAGAGCTCGGGATGTCAGTGTCACAGAGATGCATCCCAGTAGACCTGTGTGCACAGGCCGGCCAGGGGCTCAGGTAGCATGTGCCTCCTAGGCCCCAGGCAAGGGAGAAAGGAGGAGGAGGAAATGGTGGCCTGCTGGATACAGTCCCTGTGAGACCAGGACTCGCTCACTGGACCACAAACTCCTCTTTGGCAGGGGGTTGCTTCACTTGGTCTGAGCATTGAGGGCCGGGGGTCTCTGCAGAAGGTGGACCCTGCCGAGCCCTTCCCTCCCTGAAGTTGCTGATCTCCGCTGCCCGTGGCCTGTAGCTTGTCTTGCCTCACCTCTGCCAGCCCAGCTCCTGGAGCGCATGGCTGCCCACACCATCTGCCTGACAGACTCCTGTGAAAAGAGGCCTTTGCCCACCCAGGGACACAGTCTCTCCTTCCTCAGCACCCCCGACTGGCATCATCACTTCCTCCTCATTCACTGTCCTTTTTAATTTTTAAATTTTGAGATGGAGTCTGGCTAAATTGCCTAGCAAGGCCCAAACTTTCAATCCTGCCTCAGCCTATTTCCGGGCTGGAATTAGTTGTGGGCCACCGTGCCGAGCTTCTCCACCCTGTTTTGTGGTGCCACAACCCTGTTCTCTGTCTTTCTCTGGACCAAGGCAGGCAGGGTAGGTCTGGGCTGGCAGAGATGCGCTGATTGCGCCGGAGTACTGGGCCGTGTCTGATCTGGGTGTGGAGGGTGACAGCAGTGGCCACTACCTTCAAAGAGGGGCTTGCTGCTCGAGGTACCCAGGAGGAAGGGCATGCACAGGGCTTCGGGAGGCAGAAGGGGTAGGCTGTGTGGGCACAGCCCTGCCCATTGTGTGTGCATTACACAAAGGAGGGTAGGGCTTGGGCTCTGGGCTGCGGCTCGCCTGAGGCAGGCCTGTCCAGGGTAGGCTCTTCGCTGGCTCTAGGAATTAGCAGCACAGTGACTGTAAGCCTGGCACAGCACGGGCCTTGCCGAGTGCTTTGTGTGCTTCTGATTCTGCGTGGGTAATTGTCACCAGAGACATGCGACGCAGCTGTGACTCTTTTTGTTGAATTTATTACCAGGGTGCCACCACTGCAGGTGCACTACAAGCTTCCGTCACCAGCTCTGGCGTCCCAGCTGCCTGGCAGAGCCGGAAGAGGGGCCTCCCCGAGACCTGGGAGCACCCAGGAGGGGCCCCGGCCGCCCATCAGCATCCCAGCACTGCTGCAGAGGCACAGCACAGGCAGGTGCCCTTGGGCAGAGGGGAGGACGGCAGGAGGAGAGCCCAGTGCCTAAGCAGATGGCGCCCTGGAGGAGTCATTAGTCTTTCAGAAGCACAGTAGTAACTCATTCTTGTCTTCTCTGTGGGTTTTTACTCAGGACCCAAATACACCAGTCCTGCTCTGGAAGGACTCGTGTGCCATCGGAAACTTTAAAACATGTATTTAAAGGAATGAACTCTTACCCCAGCATGTTTCTGAAGTGGCGTTTGCATTCTCGTGTTCATCCTTCCCAGTTAACGCCCCTCTCTTATGACCCCCTGTCTCCCGCAGGGCCGACTCCCTTCTGGGACCCAGCACAGGGCAGGTGAGCCATCCCTGTGCTGCACCTCCCACCAAAGCTGTCTTCCCCCAGCCCGGTGGCTCGAGCTCCTCTGTGAAGAATGTGGCTGTTGCTCCGGCGGAGATCATTAAGTAGTGTGACAGAATAAAGCACTCTGGCTGTCTGGCCACCTCTCTGTGATGTGTTTCGGTACCTCAGACCCTCCTGGTGCCAGGAGCACCGTGCAGAACGCCCTCTTTCCGGGAAGGCTGCAGTTGGGCACAGCTCCACCTCCTCCCACGTGGGGTGTTACCGCTCATATCGCTGGACCTGCAGTACCCCTGCTGGCCTGGGTGTGAGCACCATGGCCTGGCCTTCCTGGCAGGACATGCTCGTGCTCCAGAGGCACCCCTGGGGCTCACCACCCAGGGCTGAGAGAGGTGTACAGGGCTAGTGCCATGCCCTTATCCTGCATTTACCCTTCCACAATGGCCGTGAGACGCAGGCCCAGGGAGGAGCAGTCGCCCCGCAGAGGGCCGACGCCAGGTGGGCTGCTCTATCACACTGGCCTCCACAGCACCTCCCGTTGGCCATGAGACTCCTGGGCCTGGGTGGCCGGAGCAGGGAGCTCCATGTGTGCTGTCCTTTGGGAAGACGCTGAGAGTCTGCTTCCTCCAGACGGCGTGCTAGTCAGGCATTCACAAATCCGGTAATAACATACCCGTTCTGGTGGGCCTGTTCCCCACCGCTGAGTGTTATCCCTAATTCTGATGTTTTCCCTGTGCACTGAGCATAACGAATATATGATTATTTAAACAGTGGGGTAGAAGCTCAGTGTGAAATATAAATAGTAAAAGTACCTTGGATCGCAGCTGCCACCAGCCTGTCCCAGGCCTGCCCCTACGCCATATGCAGGTGGGCTTGCAGGGCCCTCGGACTAGACTCTGCCTGTGGCATTTCCCAGGGCCCCAGGAGAGCCCTTCCCGCCAGGTGCAGGCTGCCGGCCACCTCTTCTTCTGTCCCCCTCTTGGTGGAGAGCTGGTCCCGGGTCCCAGGGCTGGTTGTTGATCTGTGTCTTCACAGCCTCAGTTTCCTCCACTGCCTCACGTTGCTTTTCTAAGACAGAAACCTCAGAGCTGTGTTCTCAGCCGTGCTCTGTGTTCCTTGTTTTTCACAGTTGAGCTGCAGTCAGCCACTCAGGTCCACTGGCCCTGGGGGAGTGGAGGTGTTCGCTGTGCTTGGGGCCTCCACCGTGGCTCCTCACGAATGCCTGTTCTTTGCCATAGCTTCTCTGGAAAGAAGGAATTGCGTGTCACACACGGGCAGTGTGCAAACACTCTCCGGCACAGAGGTGATGCATGGAGTGACACAGGACAGCGTGAGCTGTTCAGAGACAGCATGGACTCAGGGCAGCTGGGGCAGCACAGGTGGCAGGGGGCAGAGCCATCCTGGGCGGGAAAGGCGGCGCCTTTGCCCATGGTGTCTCAGTCTGCCACACACAGTAGCCACATGTTGGCCACCTGGTGCCCACTGCGTGAGCCTTTTTGTCCTTTGCATCACTGTGCAGCACAGGTCACAGCATCCCCTCTGCCCGCCCAGCTGCCAGTGGATGTGCCCAGAAGGCCAGGGCTTCGGCACATTTCTCATTCTAATTTTTCTGTCCTTGCTGAGCTTCCGAGTTTTAAGTAAGAAATTCTTGTCTGAGAAGGGACCCAGCTGGGAGGAGCAAAATCCCAAGTTTGATTGATTCATGGAGTCAGAATCAAGAATTAACAACAACAACAAAAAAGAATTAACAGAATGTTCTGTGGGAAATAACATAATTCTTGCCCGAACAGAGCAAACAGCATTTCCTTCAGGATGTTTGCTACCAATAGTTCCGCTCTTTGCAAATGGAACGGTAAAATGGTCATTTTGTGTGGTTAAAAAGTTTAATTTCATTGCTGCTTGGCAAATAGCTAAAATCTGCAGTGATGTCTGGAAGCCAGGTTTGTGTCTCTTACATGGGCCTCGTTTGGCCGGAGGGGAATTGGCGCTGCTGTGCTGGGCCCTGGTGCTCTAGAGGGCGCTGCAGCAGATCCCTCTCTGGAAGAACAGCTGACTGATTGTTCAGTGCTGCTCTGTGCAAGCCTGGAGCAGCCGCAGGAACTGCAGAGAACCCCAGCAGTGAGGCCAGTCTAGGCTCCCCAGGTGGGCAGCGTGCCCTCCATGACACTGCAAGGGGAGTAGGCCAGGCAGAGCGCCCTCTGCAGGGCACTGGCACTGTCAGGGCCGGAATCCACACCAGCAGGCCTCTGCTGCCTTCAGGAACTGGGTGCCGGCCCACAGCAGACACTGCGATCCGACCTGGCAGGCTTCCCAAGGGGCAGCCTCCCATTCTGTTTTTCACAGTGGGTCCATCCCTGCTGTTTGTACCTCAGCCCTCATCCACTAAGCTGATGCACCCAGGAGGGCCTTAACCGACCCCTCATCTACCAGCTGGTTCCCATTTAACGCCTCATTTTCACCTGTGCATACCTGTGCAAGTCCCATGGCTAAGGGAGGAAATCAACTTCTTCTGGCCTTGGGAGGGCTGAGCAGCAGGCCGCACCTGTGCTGGGAAGGACTGGTTTGAGGGATGCCAGTAGAGTTCCCAGAATGAAGCCTGAGGGTCAGGGCTGCTGGGCCGACCAGCTTGGGTGGGGCACGGGCCTGGGGATGAGGGAAGAGACCTTGGATACCACACAGGGCAGTGGGCCCAGGGCAGTGCCCAGCACGCATGGCTCCTGCCACGTGGACCTCCTCCCCAGGGAGCTGCTGTCTAATTTTATTCACCATTACATGACATATACAGGTGTTCTAGTCAAATCTGTCACCAGGAAGTCTCTGAGAGCTTGAACATGAACCTGGATCCTCCACCCATGCCCAGGACTGTACTCCACACCCAGTCCTTCCATGCCTAACACAAGCAGGTACCCTGCGAGTGCCCTGTCTCAGGAGAAGGCCACGTGCCCTGCAAGGACTGGTCCTCCCCACACGCATGCCGCAGCCAAGTGCGCCCATGCATAGCGCAGACCTCGCTGCGTCCAGGGCCACAGCCCCTCCTCTACATTCTCCTGGCAGCAGACTGTCTGGACGTTCGTCTGGCCACCCTCCTCTGCTCTTCCTTACCTCCTCACCTCTGTCCCGGAGGCCCAGGTCCTGCTGGAAGAATGCTGACCCTCTCCACAGAGCCTCTCGACCTCCACCTCAGGCCCCGTCCCGGGTCCCTCCTCACGTGGCTCTGTCCAGCAGCTGTCACCCGCCAGGCACACTCCCCAGTGCTCTCTTGGCTCCCATCTCTGAGTGGAAATTGCCTGCCATGTGGCAGAAATTTCGTTTTCAACTTTAAACTTTCCATGAAGAGTGTAAAGTGAAGTATTAATTTACAGTTGCTAACTGTGCTTTTTATAAGTGAAAGCATAGACAGCTAAGCATATTTTCCCCCAAGCACACAGAGCAGACCATTGACAGCGCCGCTGGGGCGACACGGCCATTAACCTAACAGGATCGGCGCCGTGGACCTGGCGCTTTTCCTCTGCAGCGCCACGCCTGGGTGGGGCTACCCTGCCTGCGGCCTGGCATCAGGGACAGAAGCATGAGGAAGGCGTGGGAGGAGGGGACACAGCGACCCCGCAGCTGCCCCCGACAGCCCCCATGGTACGTTTGATTGGAAGAACATTCCAGAAAACTCTAGATCCCCCAGACAACCTGGAGATGGATCCAGAAACCCCTCTGCCACCTGTGGGAGGCAGAAGTGTCCCCTGGGCTGGCCAGCAGCTCCCTGGGGAGCACCCTGGCACCACCCACCCAGGCCCCAAAAGACTGAGCCCCTGCCCCCAAGGACATGAGCAGCCCTGTGACACCACAGCCATTTTAGACAGGACAGAAATTTCTTCAAACCTGAGCAACTGTAAGTATGAAGAGAGGTTTTGAACAGGTTTTCTTTTCAGACTAAGAGGAAATTCCTAAAATTCTTAGGTGGTAAATCCAGGCCTCTACTCCAGCTCACTGGTGCTGACAATGGGTGGGGATGGCAGGGAGGGACAGAGGGGAGGAGGCCCTGGAGGTGGCCCTGCAGCCTCACACTGTCCCCACAGTGCCCTCCAGGCCCTCCCTTGAGGTTCTTGGCTAATCTGTCCTCGAAGCCCAGGAGGGCGCCCAAGCCCGTGAGGCAGCCCAGCGCTGCCCAGGGAGCCCCACTGTGTCCACCCACCGTGTCCACGTGTCTAATGTGATCTTCAAGTCTTCTGGGAGCATCAAACATGCAGAAAGTGTGCGGCACCAGGGTGGGTGGGAGAAGCCAGACGCTGAGCCCCAGCTGCACTGCAGTGGGTGCTTTGTGCCTCTGCATCACCTCTGGGCTTGCGTACTCACACTCTGGTACAACACTATGCCCACACAGTTCTTTCTGAACCATCAGTGGCTGCCGATTTCATGGCCCCTGTGCAGGCCCAAGGATGAGGGCAGTGCTCATGGACTGGAGGACAGTCCAGTGGGGAGCTGTGCTCTGGGAGAGGCCTCTGCACATTCCCACGGCTGGGCTGTGTGTGTGACCAGACAGACCCATTTCTCACCATTTCCAGGTGGCCAGAGGCAGGTGGGCACAGGCCTGTAGGAGAGTGCAGGCTCTGGTGCCCCCTCTGGCAATGATCCCGTAGGCATTGTGTCTACACAGTACCGACAGGACGCCTGGCTCCAGGTTTCTTTACACTGTGTCGGGGTCCCAGGCTCTGGCAGGCCACACAGTGCCACATGTCCCCCTCTAAGCCAGCCACCTGGACCCACCGTGGGTTGTCCAGGCCACTCCAGGTACTGAGAAGAACCCAAGGCCCTGAAGCCCACTGGTTTCAAGAGTGACCTCCCCCACAAACCTAGGAACACACAGAGCTGACACGGGTGGGCACAGCATCTGCCTGGATACGAGGGTAGGAGAGACCCCAGGTGGGATCGGTGCAGGTGTGGTGACACAGCCCGCTGCAAGCGGCATGGTGAGCGGCACCCACACGACCGTTTGGAGAGCTTGGGGTCACTGGCACTGCGGCGATGCTCCCTTAGTGCCTTCCAGGGGTTCCCTACACTTCCCCTCATTTCCCTAAACACTGACTTGCCGTGGTTAGGAGTGTAGCTCAGTGGTGACGCGTGTACCTTGTAAGGTCTACACT